AGAATACCGGGTGATGGACAAAGTCCAAACCCGCAGTAATTCTGATACAAAGACCCATGTAAACATGTGCATGTCGAGCCCATGAAGCTTTTGTAACTGCAGACTTTTATATTCTGACTTACGGGAGGTGAGGTGGCGCTGGGGCACGTTTTCTCCGAGTACTTCGGTTTCCCCTGCCAATCTTCATTCCAACAATTGCTCCACAATCACCCTCGCCTATCATCTGGGCCTGGTACAATAGGCCAGAAGTGGCCGCAGTACAAGGGACTTAGTCCCACCCCACTAGCCTTAAAAAAATTACGGGAGGTGAGGCTGATTGTGAATGGCGAATTGGTGACAGTGTGGTCTGTTTTGAATTCAGCTTACCAATATAGCATTACTGCCGGGACTAAAGGAAAATTACGAGCACCCTCAACCTGTGTGACCGGCCTCCTAGACCCTCCGAAATTAGCAATTCCTGGTAAATATGATGATTTATGAATTTGTCATATGAACTGAATCCTCGTGTACTTTATACCAGACGTTAAAGTGAACCTAGTGTTGCACTTGAGTGGTTGGTACTCTGTCTGACTCATATGCTAGAGGTTGCGAGTTTGAATATCGGTTCGAAAATCGGCTATCCAGGGGGCCNGGGGGGGGACCTTCGTAGTTGTATAAGTCCTCGTTGCGAATTCTGGAACATTCTTTGTAACAACCCACGGTCATATCCTTCCACAACATTTACGAGTCATCCGTGTTATCCGTTCCATTACTCGTGATCATTCTACCGTTTAACGGGTTGGAGCATGAAATTCACGTAAATAATGTAGCATGTAGACCCGTTACTGGGTAACGACCTCGAAACAGGCAACGAAACAAGATCCGCTGCTGGGCAGTAGATTCCTAATAAGCAAGTATACACAGCCGTTTCTGAGTAACGCCTCCGCAAACAAACATATTCTCACAGAAAAGATTGGAGTACAACAATGAATGGTGTTTTCTACGCGGTCCGTCCTGAGATGTTATAAGGAGGACAATTGGGACAAGAGAAAGGGAGCCTGTGGAGGGAAGACTTAGTCGGTGCAGTTGAGAGCCAGCGAGCAACGAAGTCAGCGTGGAAACTGTTAGAAGCCGTTAGCAGGGAACGATTTGGTGAAGATACAGCAGAATTATAAGTCTTGGCATATGCTGTAGTGATTTATAAAGTTTGAAGGTTAGCGATAGTGTTATAATTATTTGTAGTTAGGAGTCGTGTGGTAAAGTCAATAAATTCAAACTCAAACCCAAACTCCGTCTATAGTCACTCATATACATGATAATAATATTTACAAATCCAAATTGTCAATGAAAAATCCGTCGAGTGTAACAATGTTTTAGGTCACTTATTTATCTCACTTGCCTTACATGTTTCGGTTCAAGAAAAACCATCATCAGAGGCACGTATTACAAACACATGAAAACACTGGCGTTGTTTAATGTACACAGTATGTAAGCTGCGTGGACGCTGTTACAGATGTCGAAGTGTAAAAGCACAACACTTTCTAGTAACATTGAATGCACGTACAACTCTTGCATTCCATCTGAAAATTGCCCTCAAATTGAGCCGTCAATGTTAAAATATTTAAAAGTTTAAAACATTTAAAGTAAAATGTTCGGCTCCTTCTTGTTGATTCGTCCCGATGATGGGAAATGTCAATTTGAGGTTGTGTAGGCTTATGGTCGGATGTTTCTTATGCGTTGTGTGTTGTGTACTGTTGATAGTGTAACGGACCAAAAATGAAACAATTCAAAATTTATAAATCCAGTTCCTACTTTATAGGAAACTTGCTGCATCTGCATTTCAGTGGTCAACCAGTTAATGATGATTAGGAAAATAATATCTGTTTATTCTGTGAATCATATGAAATATATGCATGCTCCGAAATGCGCAGTTCTTTAATATGAAAGGAAGTGGTACATTTGTAGCCACTGTACTTTAAGCGGATTAACGGTATCCAATCTCTGCAGTTGTAAAATCGTCATGTAATCCGAGGATTTCCCATCTTTAACTATGCAAATGATTCTTGTTTAATAATTCATTGATTACTGCCACAGTTTAGCTCTTTCAAATAATTAATAACATTTCAAAATCCCTAGAGCATGTGAACTTGAGATATGTATTTATAAAATGTTCAGCGTATGAATCTTAAGCAAAATTCGCCAATAATTGTTATTTTCGTACACGTTAATTCAGTGCACTTTTGGGATGAATTGTGATGGAGAATAACAGCAAGAATAATAAAGACGGCATTCCTTAATGGGGCCATTGGTGCAATCATTTCTTATTCGTTCAATTGATTGAAATGTATACCTTCTAACAATCAAGTTCCTTCCGTCAAATGTGACACTTTTATAAGTTTTCCACCTCGTCACCACCTGCCTTACATGTTTCGGCTCACCACGGAGCCATCATCAGAGGCATTTATAGTAGAAAAAGAAATCACCAACACACAAAACTTCACTTTGTTAAAAATAGCCACGTTCCAGTTAATTAAAATAATTACANCCGACAGAACAGACAACACACGTCAACAACATCCCGAAGAAAAAAGACTGGGCCAAGCGGGAAAGAATTCTAGGAATTTTAAGAATTCTTACTTCAAATAACGAAACATAATTTTTACAGAATTAACGACGAATTAAATAAGAAAGCTACCGTGGTGTGTGGAAAACCTTTAGTGAACCGACACTCTCGGCAATTTTAACTATTGTAATTATTTTAATTAACTGGAACGTGGCTATTTTTAACAAAGTGAAGTTTTGTGTGTTGGTGATTTCTTTTTCTACTATAAATGCCTCTGATGATGGCTCCGTGGTGAGCCGAAACATGTAAGGCAGGTGGTGACGAGGTGGAAAACTTATAAAAGTGTCACATTTGACGGAAGGAACTTGATTGTTAATTTGTTAGTGTGACGGACCAGAATGAAAGACCTTAAAAATATACCTTCTAGTTTTTTTATTGAATTTTGAGAAGACTGTCTTCTGACTTGTGCCTACTTAACTTACTTACTCATGGAGCTGAACCCTTCTTGAGGAGAAGCCAATTCTGCAGCTACTAAAAAATTCCCCAGCATTTTATGGAACCCAAATGTTCATTACTGTGTTCACAGGAGCCCTCCACTGGTCCCTATCTTGAGCTAGATCATTCCAATACAACCCATCCCATCCTATCTCTCTAAGATCCGTTTTAATATTGGCAACCCACCTACGCCTTGGTCTTCCCAGTGGTCTCTTTCCTTCTGGCTTTCCAACCAATATTCTATATTCATTCCTCTTCTCCCCCATTCGTACTACATGCCCTGCCCACCTCATCAAGTCTTGTGATTTCTAATCAGGAAATATCGGAATCTAACCTTGGCAGGACTACCGACTGTCTCCACTTTTATATATATATATTTTTTTCAGTTTCAAAAGTCGAATGCTGAGATAGTTCCCTGAAATATGCCACGACTATCTTCTTCATAATCCTTTCCTACCCTCCGTTTCGGATTGCAGTTGCCTCACTGCTTATGTGCGAGGCAGGCAGACGCTGTGTCTCCATGTTAGCAGTGTTACATAAGCAGTTATGTAGACGGCCACTATAAATAACATATTGGAATGCAGGAAATAGTGTTTGTGCATGTGCTTTCTTTGTGAGAAATGCATGAAATGAAGTAACAGTGGAGAGGGCAGAATCCGAACTTTCTGTCCACCTTCAGGTTTCTTTCGAAAGGTACTCAACGGATATTAATTAAATTTGGTTTTCAGATTTGACACAAAAATTGTGTGGAGAATTTAGTTTTGTTCATGCCGATCAGTTAGATCTCTTACAATACATGAAGATCAAGTCAAAGTTTGTATCACATTTGCCAAAAGTGACTTCATACACAAAAATTTGAAAGGTGGCATAAAAGAAGTATCTAATTAAGATCTACAACTTCTGTTTTAAATATTCAGCTACTTAACGAAAGACTCCATGCCTTTCAAAATCTACACTATGATCAAATTTGCGAAAGTAGGCTTGTGTCTTCAATAAATGAACATCTCGAAAAAGCATCTATATAGAATCTCAAAAATTCATTTCATCAGTAATCTGTCAGACGACAGGTTCACAGTCTCTTCCAAAACAGTTCCTCCACTTAATGCGATCCTCTGTTTTTGGAAAGAGACTATCCAGGAAAAGTGATAATGTGGTAGTTTTTCCATTTGCTTTCCACATCGCAGTACAACAGCCGTTCAAACCACTCTGGTCACGCCTGTTGCTATACGAACTTGAACCATCTCGAGCATCATTTGCTCTGTGCTTCAAGTCGCTGCTGATGACGCTGCTTCCAGCATCAGTTTTTGGTTTTTGGTGTCTCTCTTCGTCTGATGTCTACCCTTTGACCTGTCCAGCAAGGGAGGCCCTGCCAGTAGCTACGCTACCGCTGGTATAGCTCTCAGGTTCCTTGGCATACTCAAACCCCCTCACCACGATAAGGAGGAGACACCAACGAGGGGAATCTCAAAAATACGTTTGAAAAATATGAGCATTTGCATTGCATCGGAGTACACCTCTCTGAGTAAGCTTACGTCATCAGAGTACCCTTGCTTAAAACGTGTTAGTAATAAACACTCTTTGAATTACGGCTCAACCCCACCTTGATGTCAACACTTACTAAATAAGGTAAAGGTAAAGGTATCACTTAACAGGCCTTGGAGGCCCATAGGGTTGTGAAATGTTGAGGTTCCCACATTTTCTTGACAATCAGCTCACAGATGGCGGTAACGTACTCATTTCTGTTAGAGGCTGAGTCGATCCCAGGGCCATAGCACGGCTGGAAGGATTAGGTAAATTGAAGAAATCCACCTCATCAGGATTCGATCCCGCGACCTTCCGGCTTGTAGCGTAGTGCCTCAACCAACTACGCTACAGTACATAACGCATTACCTGTAAATGTAAGCCGAAACCATGTAGGTCTGTGTTGCGAGAGGATAATGCAGTGACACTTTCTCTTCCTCAGGGCCTGTTTTCGCGCATCACGTTTCGGGAGCCACTCTTCGTCGGCGGTCCGGGTAACACGACTGGACTTGCTGAGAAGCTGCCCACAGAGGATGGGCTGAGAGGTTGCATTAGGCACCTGGAAGTGAATGACCATGTCTATAGGTTCAACATTGCGCCCCTCGGGGACTCAGTCAAGGGATTTGATGTCGGTAAGTACAGAACAGATATTTAGCTCCATGTTCTCTCTCTCCCCCCCTCTCCATGAGCAGAACAGTACGGAGGCAGATCTGGAGAGGCAAAGCTGACAGAAGGTAATTGCCCTGAAGGATTCCAATATTAAATTATCCCATGCATTGACCGAAATCTGCTGCCTGTGTTCTCAACTGTATCACTGCTGCATTTCCTGTAGTTTGCTTGAGATATTTTTATGAAATTATTCCTACATAAGCATATATTTTTTTAGAAGTTATTAGATTTGCCATTTTTACACACACACACACACACACACACACACACACACACATATATATATATATATATCGCTCTACAGCCCTTTGGACTTTGGCCGCTTTTTCAGCTTCTTAATCCTATACACAGTCGGTAGGACTCCTTGGACGGGGGATCAGCCCGTCTCAAGGGCCCAACCTACACATAGAACAACACAAACAGAATAAACGGACACAGATATGCATGACTCGAGAGGGATTGGAATCCAGGATCCCAGTGTTTGAACGGGAGAAGACAGTTCATGCCTGATACCGCGCGGCCACTGTGATCGGCCTTTTCATACATACTGCATGAAGTTAACGCACAGTGGACAGTTAGTGTCTGCCAGACCACATGATTCATTTCATAAATTAAAACACTATTTTAATTAAATTTAGTACTAATGGCCATAGCCCAATCATTATAGTGGCTACCTACGAACTGAACAACTAAGTTTCGATTCCTGGTAGTGGTAGGATTATTCATGTCTGCAGGGCGAGTTTATAATAATTTAGAAATATTTTAATATATTCATGAACATCGCTGTAGTTGTTAAAGGGTCAGATTTTACATTCATGGCACTGTGATGATACTGTATGTATGTAGTGATACTGGTCAATCACACTGCAATAGTAGTTTCCGCTTGTATTGATATGTCCTTCTGAAGATGGTCTCTCAGACCGAAACGTGGCAAGGATGAAAGATTAAAAAGGAGAAAGAAATATTTATCAGTCGCACTGGACGGAGTTTATAACCGTTTATAATTTTTAATAGCGCTTCTGTTTGTTTTCTCCTTCCACACAGTCCGTTAATCTTTGAAGTATTTAAAGTGTGGCCCTAGAAGTTGTAATTATAACAGCTGTAATTTGTAGGGAAGGCCCTAGGAGTACACGTTCTCATGAACTTTGCACTTACTTTGATATCCAGAAACCGTCCCCTGAAATACGGCATGTAATAAGGAAACGCTCTGTATAGAGCCGTTGCTACCGCCGTTTGGTAACCTGCACGTATGAAGTGTAACTCTACCCACATTTCTGTCACTTTCTCCCAGATATTCTCCTTAGCATTCTGGTATCAAACTCTGCCCCCCCCCCAGGCCAGGCTTTGTTCTTCCCGTAAGCGAGAGACAAGTTTGGCGCTAATATAAATTAAAACGTACGCGTAAAATTGTGGGTTCGTATTTTAAATTGTAGGTTTATGGAAATGAGATGGAGAAATTAAAGATTATGACCCTAGTAATAGCAGACATTCGCCATATTTAACCTGCTCATAACCGCTTCTTATTCTTGATCAGACTGTTAAGTTCACCTTGTTCCTGGGACATTATTGTGAGTAGACCCAGTTTTGTGGTCGAAGGTCGAGGTATAGTTATTAGCATGTTGCTTTGTATACAAGAAATTCACTGTTCGTGCCTACCAAAGGAGACCGGATATGCTCACAGGTGTATTTATGGCCTTCTGTCTCCCTGCTGATTAAATTCCGGTATAGCGCCTTAAATAAACAGCAGCAGCTTCCTTTTTCTTCCCTTTCCAATTCATATTTATCCTGTCATTAATTCTGTATTGTCGCATATCCTGGTAACACGACAAGTAATTAATTGGTTCTGTGGATTGATGATTAGGTTTATTTGACGTCACTAATACAGTCACAGTCGGTTACAACAGTTCACACACTCAACTCCTTCCGGAGCTCTGCTTCGGTCTGCAAAGCACGTTGATTCGCTGCCGAGTCACTTTGACTTCTTGTTCCTCCTTCTGTGTTATTCTTGTCTCTCCTGGTACCACAACTAAACCACAGGAACTATAAGAGCCACACTCCAGAACACATAAAGTCTTCAGATCACATGTTAAATCTTGTACGAACTTCCCGTGAATACCTTCCACCGAGAGCCCAGAACTCTGTCTCTGTCTCTGTCACTGTCACTATCACTATCACTGCCTTTGAACTGTAGTCCAAGTCCAAGTCACATTGCAACTGACGCTCCATCAGGCTGTCTGTCTTGGTGTCGAGCCCCGGCTGGGGCTCATGACCAAATTTTTCTTTTCTTATATGAAAGTTACTGTCCTGTTCATTTGGGGCGCCCTCTCTGACGAGAGGTCGGGTCTGTCATTTGTCAGTAATAGTCCGTGTTAGTAAGTCCATTGTCAGTATTTGCATATGTTTACAAATTTAATCTTAATTCCTATTTCTATGTATAATATATACAGGGCCTCTGTCAATCCAGGCTCAGTACAGCAGATCGCCGTTTATTTTTAAGATAACTCCTTTGCACGGACCCGACGAAAAACACCGTCTCCCACTGTTTGTGGATGCATGTTTACCGCTGCGTTGCCTGGCAACGGACTCCCTATGTATATATCCGTGCTTTTTCTCGGCGTGGACCGCATAGAAAACACAGTATCCCTTCTATTGTTTCCTCTGTTCATGTTTACGGAGCTGTTGCCTGGCAACGCGTTGATCAGATCCGTTACAGGGTACTGTAATTAAACGTGCCCCTCCCTGTAAACACATCTACCCAAAGGCGTTTTGACGAATGGAGATGAAGCTCCAGTCATTCTTAACCTCTAGTTTGGACAGAGTGATTCATGATCCGGCCCTGGTACTCTTTTCATGGGAGCTATGGGCCCCCATAGTCGGTTTGGACACAGTGGAGGCGTAGGGAGGCGTTATTTCCCTACCCGTAATAGAACCCCAATCGTCAAACTCGTGGACAACCACAGTTCGTAAAGACTGTTGTAATAAAAGAAGCATAACTGTAGCTTTAAATTGAACTTATACATTTGTATTCAATTGCTATACATCCCAATTTGCGATGATTGATGTTTGAAATCTTGTTGTCTGGAGTTCTCAGTTTGCACGGTTATATGCATTGATGTAATAGTCATTACAAATTAACTCTCTGGTACTCGAACCCAAAATTCCAGCACCACTGCTTGAGTGATACCCCATTCAGTTGATGTTGAGCCAGTTGCACCCAACATGTGTCCCTAAGGACATCTTAATGGTATTTTTCCATGTCCCCAGCATTAACATTGACTGGTTCCAAGTGGGTTCTTAAACGCGTCCCTTGGCACCCCAGCCGACCTTCATTTCCACCGCTCTGTAGTCTCTGTAGTCTGCAGTCTGTAATAGCGTAACCTTTTGTTGACACGTTTCCTTACATTTTGTTTTCAAGCACTTTTAGTTCATATAGGATTGGAGGTCCTGACAGCAGTGGGAGTACTGTCTTCTGGGATATACCGCAGTAAATTCCGTTGAAAGCCAACCGACGTTTCGGAGAAAATATCGCCTCCATCTTCAGGGTCGAAGAATAAGCCAAGCAAGAGCTCTGCTTGCCTCTTGTTTTCACGCTGGTTTCTTGCTCGGCTTATTCTTCGACTTTGAAGATGGAGGCGATATGTTCTTCCGAAACGTCGGTTGACTTTCAGCGGATTGCACGACGTTATATCTTCGCCATTGGTTCATGTTTTCAGAGCAAGAGACCACTTTCCTCAACCATACCGAACAAGAAACAATATTATTGGTCGCGCTAGTCAGTGCTTGCATCGTGTTAACTCGACAGTAGCGTCAGAAGTTGTGGAGCGACCCTCCCACCAATTCAGTTCCTTAAGTGGAATTCAGTGTTCACCCCCTGGCGGACTTCAGTGAACATTCCCAGTGTTTTTCGTTTATGTCGGGGCATCTGAGGCGCCCCTTAGGTCCATCATCTAATTAATCCCAGTTGTGTTCACCTCCTGGGTCTTGAGCTTCTAGCGGGTACCACCTCTGCACACTGGAGGGCAGACATCTTAACTGAGGTTTGTGGCGGGTTTGCTCAGACCGTGCAGACAACTGGTGGAACAGTACCATAAAGCACACCACGGCCATTTCCTCCCATCCACCCAGTAGTTCTTGAGAAACTTGGCAACAAACTTCCCACCTGGTTCTGGGGCTCGAGGGTTCATTGCCATGTTCACAAGAGCCCTCCACTGGACCGTATCCTACACCAGATTAATTAATTTCAAATTCCAATATATTTTTCCTTTTAAGATTACTTTTAATATTATCCTTCCATTTACACTTCGGTCTTCCAAATGGTTTCTTACCTCGTATTCTGACAAAGTTGAATTCTCATTTTTCAGCGTCCCTTGGGTGTGGGTGAGGAGTACAAATTATAAAGCTTCTTATGATAAGATATTCTTCAGCCTCCTGTTTATTCCTTTCTCTCAGACATGAATATTCTGTTCCTCTTTGTGAGACCAAGTTCACATACATACGAAACAATGCGATGCTGGATTTGTTTTAGTGAGAAAACAAAATATTCTTAACTGAATGGCAGCATGCACTTCCAAATTTTAATGTGCTCGTAATCTCTTCGTGTGTAGTGACTCTTATTTATTACCGTCGTTCCGAGGTATTGAATGGATTTGTACGTTTGCATTCGTCTTAATTATATATGGGCTGCGTAAGAACAGCTGTCGTAACAGTGGCACTGCTCTCCAGCATCTTAACCTATTTTCGAAAAATTAAATCATAGTCAGCTTCTGTATACTAAAAAATTGAGGTTTCTATTTGAGTAACTTAGTAAATAGTAATGTTTGTCCTCTCACCATAAGGGAGGATAACATGAGAACGAAATGCTGAGGAGGGAGAAGGAAGCTGGGTAATCACGTGTGAAAAGCACACACAACGTTAATTGGAAATTCTGTAGGGAAGAGACCACTGGGAAAATAGTGATTGCTAC